AAGTTGTCTGCCCTTTTGTTCTCCAATAGTCTAGGAATTGCTGTTGGTTATGATTCAGAACCAATAAAATTCAAAGACTAAGCTTAGTATCAAATTACTGTTGTTTTAGAGCAGGGGTGTCAAAATCAATCCCACTCGGCGGCAAACTCAAATTTTACACTTAAGGTTGCGGGCCGACCTGGACAAACATTCATTGAGCTGCGGAAAACTAAACCTTTTTTTAAAACAATAATATGGATTAAAGTCATAATAATAACAAATCGAGGCATACCAATTTTTCCTCTTATGCCAGTTTGTCAGAGCTAGATGTTTAGCACCTTTTTTTTAGGCAACCAGTTCGCTAAATGTTTGGACCTAAGGATTACCTGTAATGCTCTTGTTGGTGGGATATAATTGTTTGCCAGGCCGGATGCTGCCCCTTGGGCGAGTTTGACACTTATGTTTCAGAGGATATTCAATTAAAGCTTCAGCTTTTGTCCTGACTACATGTCCAGAAGTTGCTCAAAGTATTAACCCATTATCTCTGAGTGGCCGATAGCACAGGCCAGTGAGGTGGTCATGTTTGGATGAGTGGCTTGTGCCACCGACCGATAAGAGCGCGATAGTTTACTTCCAAATAATATCAGTACATTCATAGTATGACTAGTATTCTGTACATAGATGTTAGATTTTTCTCTAGGGGGAGGGGGGTCTGTTCAATTGATTGGTTGATAGTTTAACTTAAAAAAAGAAGTTTTTCAATCAGGCATTGTTTCAGTTTATGGATGTATGTTAATGATTTCCAAGCTCAGCTGATTGCACAAAGATGGCTGTAACTTTGCCAACAATTATCTTTTTACCATGAAAATTGACATGCACTTTCAGAAGTGGATGTAGATTGACTGAATTAAATATTTTAGAAATAATTCTATTGCAATTTATATTTTTACTTTGCTGGTGATTCGCAGATTTGACTTCTTTTTTTTTTTTGCACTGTTTGCTTTTGGTCCGGTTTGTACTATTTCCATGAATTACAATTTGATTGATATTTTGGCTCAGCAGTTTACTTAGTCTGATTCTACATTCATTTCCCTTTCTAATGAGGTATAAAACGCTGGTGTTGCTTAATTTGGGGACAAAATTTATAGCCCACTGTGTAAATGGCCCTGTGTTCCATTTTGACTGACCAGAATTAAATTCCGTCCAAGCGCGGAAAAAACATTCGGAGACAAAGGGTTAAATGAAATGTCTCAATGATTAATTCCATTGTATGTCCAGTGGCAAGACAGTAAATTAGTTTTTTTCTACTTCGCTAGTCTAAGATTCCTCTCAAACTGCAGGGTGGATCAGACTTTGTGCTCTCTCCCTTCAAATATTTGTAAATATCTTTAATTTTTTGTTTTAAAAAAATACAATTGACATTTTATGTTATCTTTTACTTCCCCTTCCCCTTCCTCTTTGACTTTCAATTGTAAATAGCTTCTGAAATTGACAGTGGGAAAAGATGAGTACCATTTATCAGCTTCCTTGTCTGTACAGACAGAGTATAGTTTGATGCGCTAAATGGGAGAAAATTGTGAAAGTGATGTCACTCTCACAGTCAGCTCTGCCCATCCCGTGACTACGCATTGTCAGTCTCTGAGGTTGGTTGTTGCAAGGCAGCTGTCAGATTGAATAATAATAATCTACTTTTTATTTCAGGGTACAGAAAGTGGGCCGTTGGCGGGTTCTCTGGTGTGGTTTGCTCCTTCTTTCCTATCAAACATCTATCGTCCTTATCTCCCCTTCTTCTTTTTTATGTTCTGTTTTGTTTTAGTAGAGGTTTTATGGTGCTCGCAACTGCATAAGGTCATATGAGCGCCAGAAGATTAAAGGTGTTATATGAAAGCAACAAACTACAAAAAAGAAAACGGGAGATAAGGACGATAGATGTTTGACAGGAAAGAAGGAGCAAACCACACCAGAGCACCCGCCAACCACCCACAGAGAGTGATTACAGAAATTGTGTACCTCGCATGGCAGTAGAAGTAGAAGTATAGAAACGACTAACGAAATCAATAACATTAGACTGTTAAACACAGCCCACCCACCCCATCCCCAAATCCCCGACACGCACACACAGCCACACGTGTGCAGGCTGCCCATCCGACCCCGACACACGCCAGAGTAGATACGTGCGCGTGCCAACTACGCATGTGTTGGTTTTTAAAAAGGCCGCTGATTGATCGCATGCAATCGGCTAAGTGAATAATGGTTCACGATGCAGGTTCAATGGATAGGTTCCAGCAATAAACGAAGTTCGTTCTGGGAGAAAAATGAGCAAAGCCACGTCTGCGGGGGGCTGTTCACCCTGGAAGCGACCTCGTTGAATCCGAGCTCGCTGATTTAAATGCTCGTTGAATCCGAGTTATTTTTTAAATTGATTTTAAAGAAGGAAAAAAAAACGGGGAATCTATCTCATCTCGTTGAATCCGAGTTCTCGTTGAATCCGAGCTCGTTGAATCCGAGTTCCACCGTACTTGTAGTGTTCATAGCGTACGCCAAAGTCACTAGGGTAATGTTCACAGCAAATGTGCAAAAATCACTACGGTAGTGGTTATTGTTATTGCATGAAAGCTTCTACGCCAAAACCACTACGGTAGTCTTTATTACACGGTGGTGTTCTGAGCGTGTTACAGCAGCTGTGGACAAGTTTGTCTTCTTGAGTAACACTTTATCACGCTCAGCTAACACCGACGAGGAAGTGGCCACAGAATCATCCGAGCCAGTACTGCTTCAGCAAACGAAAGGACTACAATTGTGCGGTCAAAACTTTGTGGCGCAACTTATCCTCAATTTAACATCTTTTCAACGGGTGTAAAAATATCACTCATACTTTGCACAGCAATTTGTATCAATTTGTCCTAACTTTATCATATTTTTCCACAACAATTGAGGCTAGATTTTAAAAACTTTTCTTCATAAATTCATATAAAATACTACAAATCTTTCACGCGGAAAATGGAATTGTTCTCAACACTTCCCGCTTCTCACACACACTTTGTGTTCGCACATGACTTACGTCACAGCTCATGAATGACAAGTCTCGCCTTTAGAAAAAAATGACGAACTTGCTTTTAATTTATTTTAAAAGCGATATTGTCACAGTGTAAACCTTTAAAAATCTATAGAAACCACGCCATGGGTTTTCTAAAAATTAGTATTTATAAAGGGATTTTCTAGAATACAGCTAACAGGTGTTTACAAAAATATTGATATGTTAAGACAAATCGATACACGTCACTGTGCACAAGTTGAAGAGTCTGTGTTCGATAGTTGAGAAGATATTTGACAAGTTGCGCCACGAATTTTTTACCGCATTATAAGTCTGGGAACTGAGAGCGAAGAGGACTGAGTTTTGACTCCAAGCTCAAAGTGTAGCCTATAGAGCAGTAGTAGTTTATCATAGTTTATGTCACCCTGCTCTTCGCCTACAAACGCGGTCAGTCCCACATGAGACGCCTCAGGACCTTGCTCCGTACTCCGTGTCAAGTGGCAAGACAGAGTCCCAGACACTGAGTTGTTCCAGCGGCCTCAGCTCTTGGTTAAATGCATTATTTCGGTTAAAGTAAGCTGCCAGACCTGCGTGACATTGAGTTATGTCTCACTGCGTGTAATTGGATCCCGCATACTCTATTTGTCTGTCTTTTTTCCTGCCCGTATTTCTGTGTGTATGTCTGTCCATCCGTTTGGTTCTCTCTCTCTCTCTCTCTCTCTCTCTCTCTCTCTCTCTCTCTCTCTCTCTCTCTCTCTCTCTCTCTCTCTCTCTCTCTCTCTCTCACGTAATTTTCATTATAAACTCACGCTGGACCACTGATCACTCTGACCACTAGTTGACCTCTGGTAACCATTTAACTTGAAATGAGGGGACATAGCTGAGGGAACATAGAGCGGTTCGTTAGGAGAATTAGCTCTATGTTCCCCTCAGCTCATATATATATATATATATATATATATATATTCCCTCAAGTCAAGAGATTATTTACTTACGTCATGTAATATGGCATGGCGTATAGCATGGGACATGGCATGATATGACATGGCATGACATAGCATGTGACTCGACTTGAGGGAACATAGAGCAGAGGGAACATAGACATGCCCCCGTTCCAGCGGGCCTAGATGGAGAGTATTCACGCCATCATTCAGTGCTGTCACCTCCCAGAGAGATAACTCTATGGTGAGCTATCACCAGACAATAACGCTCACTCGGCGAACAGAAAATTAATTTTTTGATTTAAAAAACCAACAAAAAACAACTCTGCAAAGATACGGGGAAAGCATCCCTGGAGCGTTGTCATATTTCCCACGCTCATTATAAGCAACTCAAGACCGCTCTGTTTAGCGCACCCACGCAAGATCCAGATTTGCTGAATTTGTAAAGAGACGAATTTAGTAGCCTGCAATAATAATAAAGACGTCAGCCGAAAAAGAGCCGAGAGAATCCCATCTCTCAGTGAGGTCCAGCCCTACACACCCCACTGTCCACACGGGAGAAGATCGGCCAGATCAGTCTTCGATCCACACCTCCGCAAATAATACACTCTTGTACCTGATTTTTCGACTACAAAAGGGGGTAGACCAAAACGGTATCTATTCTATAGCAAAGTTTCAGAAAGATTGGTGTTCAGATAAAGTCTGTAAGCTTCATTTAAAAATAAATAATTCAGCGATAAACAGACTAGGTATGAAAGTTATAGGCCTATATAAACGATACTTCATACAAGATTTCTTTTGGTTTCTCTTATAAGTAAAAAAAAATACAGTGCTTCAGTAACTTTAAACTAACTAACTACAAGTTTGTGAGAAATATACATTACATGTGAAAAGCTGGTTATATCTTTGAGAGTCATACATGAGTATAATACAAAATATTATGTGTACATGTACATGTATCAGGTAGGCTATGCCTCGGCCTACCTTGAAGGCACACACCTGACACTCGAGATTTATCGAGTACTTCTTTTTCGAGTGTCGCGTCCTCAGGTGCGACAACTTGATTCGTCAATCGTGAAAATGGCGTCCAAATGAGTACACACGGAAGTGACAAGGAAAGTAAAAGGTATGGAGTTGCTGAACGTTATAGGCCTATCAGTCCCAGTTGGGCTTGATGTTTAGGTAGTTTAGGTAAAAACGTAATATTTGCGTACTGAAACTGAACTAATTTATTCGACTGAAAATGAGCTAATCAAAATGTAATCTAACGACAGGATAATTTCCACGCCAGGCAAGTTTCAGGGCAAATAGGCGAATTGCTTGGCACTGAAGTTTTCGGATGCCAATACAATCCTCTCCTCCAGAGTACCCGTTTGGTGTTCTGATGCCTAAATTCTAGATCTAGATCTAGACTTTGTTAAAAACTTCAAATCCCTTTCTGTGTGGATAGTTGGTATCCTCCTAGACAAGTTGGATCAATCAGTTTCTTTTACCCTTTGCTTAGCCTCAGAGCTTGCTTATTTTTAAAACTTGTACAGCAGAGACCAGCCCTAATAAAATATAAGAGTTTAGTAAGTGATACAAATTTTATTCTATGCTAAAGTCTAGTAGATGACTTATAATTGGGGCTTTTGAGTTTATCATTGTCAAGTTTGTATGACACATTTTTGTTATCTTTTAATTTACCTTTTATGACCAACTGTCCTGATCAAGTCATTTAACCTCTAGAAATCTAGATATGTGTCTGGACTTTTTATGTATATAGTTTTTCCTTAAGTTGGAAATAAAAGTTGTTTATGTTGTTGTTGTTACCATTACCGTTCCTGTTGATTTTCTTTTTCTTTCTTTTCCATCTTGTTTTACTTTATTTTTAGCTCTTGTGTCTTTAGCTTCGAATCCACTCCGTCTTCATTATAAACTCTTTACCTCCTGAAAAGTCGACCAAAGAAACGCAGTGCACTTTACTAGATTCTAGTAAGTAGGAAGTGCTGAAAGAAAGTGTCCCAGGTCTTCCTGTTCCAGTGCCAACATCACCCCCCCCCCCCCACCCCCAATCCCTTACCCTCCAAACACCCCTTACCCCCCCCACCCATTCCATAAAAAAAAACAGTGTCGCTAACCAAAAACACCCCCCCCCCCCCCCCCCCCCACACACACACACACACACACACACACACACACATACACAGACCTCGTACACGTGGTGTACAAACACTATATTAAACTGTTCATTTTCCTTTCTAGCTCAGAAGCCCTTTTTAGAAAAAGAAGGGTGTGAAAGTGTAAGGATGGGAACACAGCAGAGCAAAATAGCCAAAAATATGTTCATGATATGATAAAGCCCTTGGGTCAACCATTAATTTGAGAGCAGAAAATTATATTGATATTAGAAGTAGAGAGTGTTTGAACTTACAATTTCTCGTATTGATATTGTTATCTTTTTGTATGATGTATATATATATTGTATTTGATTTTTTGATTTTTAACAGATAGCCTTTGACAAAGATAATTAACATTGACGGTGCCAATTCCAATGTCCTATCTTCATCACAGTGAGGAGTTTGAAGAACACAACATTAGAGAAACACGTCCAAAGACTGAACAGGGAATTTGACAGAAGATGGCGCCTTCTGGTGGTGGCTGTTGCTACCCTGTGAGGAGCAGGAGAAGCACAGTGCTGATTGTGATTCTGTTGATCTCAGCTGGTTTTATGCCATCAGGCGAATCAGCTTTGGTTGCCAGAACAGAGTGTAAGTTGCTTGTATGCTTTCAATAACCAAAAAATTAAAACCTAGGACGAAAATGATAAAAGAACCCCCTCAAAAATGTTTTTAAATTTTTTATTAAAAGATTTAAAATTAAAGAATCACATTTCAATGTAAGTCTTTGTCAAGTCACTCTATCAACTTTCTACATTTGGAGTCATAAAATGGATTTCTTGTATCCTTTTTTTTTTAGACAATGCGTTTTTCGGCATTTGCAACACAATAAAATCATATGTGCCGAAGATTAAAGGTGTTATATGAAAGCAACAAATACAAAAAAGAAAACGGAGAGATAAGGACGATAGATGCACAGGAGCACCTCTTACCACCCATTTCCTATATTCTTATTAGTTGTTCTTGAATATCTCCAATGTCAAAGATAAGTCAATTAAGTGTTTTACTGATGGATGCAGGATTCAGTTGGAAGGTTTGAAGGACAAAATTGTCCTGACAGTGGCTTGGTCCTCCAGGTAATTCTGCCTTGTCCATGACATCATAATGATATTGCTGCGTGCGTGTTTGGACAAAACCTAACTTGTTTCCCCTGTTTAGTGAAAAGTTACCGTGAGTATGTACCAAAAACCAAATTTACGAAGCAGATGTATGACAAATCTAACTGTTTCATATGAAAGCCTATGTCATCCTATGAATTTTGGTACCATTCTTTGACCTCTCTGTTAGGGTAGAGTCGGGTAACTTCGCCAGTCGGGTAACTTCGCCACCCCCGTTCACCCTCTCTTAAATAAATTGGAATAACCTATCCTCTCTATTCTAATTAGGCAAACATTTTATGCCAATGAGAAGCAGGGATCCTTGGCTTAATCTATATAACTAATCACAGCCTTTGTTACAGTTTTGACGTCACTATCGTGATGTCATACGCGTCTCTTCGTCGTCAGCTCTACAATTCGCATCCCTTTCTATGAATCTTCTTCATAGAGCTTACACATCTTAACCCTACTCATTCTGCTTTTAATTCTTATTTGACTGACTATCATCTATATTTTCTATATTCTTCCCTTGATTCCTTTTATTTAACTGCTCTATTATCTCTATGTAAAGGTCTTTAATAGTTATTTCAATCAATTTAATTATATAAATACCTTTGACTAAGGTTACCTATCGTCGGGTAAATTCGCCACGGCCGACGGGTAACTTCGCCAGTACTGTAAAGTTGCAATTATCTTGATCTTTGATCACTAACTTTGTTGTAATCTTTAACAATCATTTCTTTATTATTGTGAAATCAATAACTAACATTATTTCACAGTTTACATTTTCCTGAATTGCAAGTTTTTGTTACTAAAATTGCTGTAACCTTTACTAACACTGTTCCTTACAATTATCTTAAATTTTTGTTACTAACATACATTGTTGTAATATTTACTAGCCTAACACGTGTGTTGTAATATAACATTATTGCATTATTATTTCTAGTAATTTTGCAAAGTCTAGATCTATATCTACCCATTCACTATGCCAACACTGTCAAAAAATTTGTACGGCAAATATGACAGAGAGAATCTGGTTAAAGCCATTGATGCAGTTGCCAATGGGATGAGCTGTTCTAGGGCAGCTCGTCAATTCGGCATTCCCAGGAAGACCCTTGCCGATCATGTTTCGGGACGATCCAAGCTGGAAAGAAGAGCTGGGAGAGAGAGAAGCATCCCCGAAGCCATTGAAAACAAAATAGTAGATAAGGTCATCGCTGCTGCGGCTGCTGGATTCCCTATCACCAAGCAGCAATATTTACTGAAAGTAGGATCAGTTGTCAGCAAGCTGCACCTGAAGACCCCCTTTACAAATGGAGTTCCTGGAAAGGATTACTGGTTGCAGCTAAAGAAAAGGCGACCTGATATTGCAATTCGCACTCTGGAGAACTGCTCATCGAGCAGATTAGCTATGATGAAAAGGGACGTGGTTGACAGATATTTTGGAGATCTGCACAAGACCATAACTGAGTTGGGATTACGAGAGAAGCCAGCACAGATCTGGAACTGCGATGAAACGGGCCTCACATTCTGCCCGGATGCTTCAAAGGTTCTGGCTGCAAAAGGAGCCTGGAATGTAGTGACCAGGTGCAGTCCGTCCAAAGACAACATTACCACCTTGGTATGTGTTAACACCGCAGGTTCTGCCATGCCCCCTATGCCCCCTATGTGCGTCGTCAAGGGAAAAACGAACAGGGGTGCAATGGTTTCAGCAAGTTTTCCTCCCCAACTGCGGAGACTCAAGGCCTCAATTGTTGATCCTAGACTCACACCACAGCCATGAGGTCCTGGAACTTCTCGAGATGGCGAAGGAACAGTTGGTCCATGTTTTGGCTCTCCCCCCTCACACCACACATATGCTCCAACCTCTGGACCGGGTGGTATTTAAACCATTTAAGACAGCCTACAGACGCCACTGCACAGAATTTTTAACTGCCAATCTAGGGAAAATCATAAATAAAGTGACATGGCCAAGCCTTCTTTCCAAAACCTGGATGTCAACTTTGAAGCCAGAGTTGATACAAAAGGATTTTGAATCCACCCTGTAGATAGGACAAGAATACCTGAATCGGCTTTCTTGCCAGGAGATGCTTATAGGGCTGCAGTTGCAACAGCATCATTGTCATCAACAGAATCTGAACCTGCAGTTGCAACAGCATCATCGTCATCAACAGAATCTGAACCTGATCTGAACCTGCAGCAACGCCAACACCATGTCCCATGGAAGTGGAAGAGCAAACTATTGATGATGTTGGGGACGTCTTGACGATATCAATGGATGAAATAGGAAATCTTGATTTCTTCAACTTCACCGTTAACGTCGAAGGAGAAGATGTCCACATTGATGATATTGTCAATGAATCATCACCAACCGTCACCGACACTCAGCCAGAAACCAACCCAACTCAACTCCCGGAGGCAAACTACTGGAACCAAACCGTGAATGAAATTTTTGGCATTGCTTCCCAGTCCCCAGGAAACACAACCACTCGGAAATCAAGAGCGATTCCATCGCACAGACTATTAACATCTGAACAGGTGCTCCAGGAGAAACGAGAGGCAGCAGAAAAAAAGGAAAGGAAAGAAAAAGAAAAGAGAGAGAGGAAGGAGAAAGCACTTCAGAAGAAGATTGAAAAGGCTACTAAAAATGCTGATAAATAGACAGATTAGCCTATCTGATGATGATGTTAAGAAAATATTCTTATTTTGTGATCTCCTGTATCTAAGGGCTTAAAAAATTGTTCCATTCTTATTTGACTTAATAAAAAAACCAAAAAACCCCCACAAAAACCCCCCCAAAAAACAACAACCAGGAAACAAATGAAAAAGCAACACAAAAACAAGAGATAAAATGGCATTAAGGGGTGGCGAATTTACCCGATCGGGGTGGCGAATTTACCCGATCGGGGTGGCGAATTTACCCCCAGGCTGGCGAATTTACCGGCCATGACCTACCCTAATAAAAAATGCGATATCTTTACAGTACGAAGGCAAAGCGTTTAAAAGGAAGGCAGAGGGGGCATTTTGATTGGCCAATATAAGGCCTATGTGTGTTTCGTCCGTGTCAAATGAATTGACTGCATCACACAGAGATTCTTCACCGTCAGTGAGCGAAGGTGGCGAAGTTACCCGACTCTACCCTACTTTCAATGAAAATTGCAGCCATTTTAATTAAATCAAAATATTGAAAAAAAAATTATGCTAATTGAAATTGGCTGAACCCCATTTTTGACAGATAGTTAAACAGTACATTGGAGTCCACTTATAACGAGTACTGAAAAAGCAAGAAGTCTGTTATAAAGGCACTATTCTAAAACCCCGTTTTTTCCCTTCCTTTACCTTTGTAAATAGAATACGGCTCACGGCATCACTTTTTGCCCGATTCTGTTACCTTTAGTTAACGTGACTCGGCAGCCCGCCGGAGCTCCCCGGCTCGGGGTCACAGGGTTAATGAGCCCTGAAGCGACTTTGCCGGTGTCGGTTAGGAAGTTCGCATTTTTTACTATGTTTAAAACGATAACTTCTTCCCCATCCCACACAGCAAACCATTAGGCGGATGTACTAAAAGCTCAATGTGTTCTAGACAAGTGTTTGTAGAGTACCTAATTTGTCACATTTTAGTTACAAACTTATGAATAAATGACTGTTAATTAAAAAAAGGGCATGACAGATTTGTCCAAAATCTGTGTTAAACTGACTATGAATATCATGTCTTTTACCATGGGAAATCTTAAATCTGCGCGAGTAGTAATAGTCAAGTTATAAGAGAAGAAAGATGCATATCTGCATTTTTTAATTAAAGACGATCAGCGTTAGCTCTCAAAAATGCAGATTTTTCATTACTTCAACAGTAACTCGGAGCCCTGTCCCAGCTGGCACTTACACTGTCACCCACATCAAACAGTTCGGCTATATACTGTAGTGAAGAGTACTGAGGCTCCCCATGTCAGGGTCATATACATACTTTCAGAGTTTCTCAGAACAGTCAGTAAAAAATAATCCCAAGTTGACCACTTAATTCCAGTAGAAAATGAACTGATCTCTCTGTTGACACCTTTTGTGAGCTGGTGTTTTACATATTTTATGGAGAAAAAAAATGATCTTTGAAAACTTGAACACTCTCTTCAAAGGATTCTTTTTAAACCCCAAAGGCTGATGATATATACCACTGGATATGTCATTCAAAGCTCTATAGCTCTCTGCCAGTGAAAAGAGGATATTCAATCATTAATCATTATCCAGCTCCAGATACACAAACATACAAAAACACACCATTCTAATGAGGAAAAGCTGAACTTTTTTGTGGTGTACAACATTTGGTGTTTTACAGTGATAGAACAAGGAAACGGTGATCTGGATTACTACCTTACACCGATTTCACCTGAAGTACCCTCTAGAAGGCCACAGGTTGGCTTACCCAGTGTTCAAACTACCTACTATGAGTCAATAGAAGATACCGCTTTTCCAGACTTAGTTCTATAATGCCCTGAATAAGGCAAAAATCGTCTTCCTTTGAGATATTTTTTTATTCCTACGATTTGCTTTTCATTCGGGTAACTAGGTCTTTTATGTAAAAAGTAGGAGACAAACTGAAGTTGTACTGAAATTAACTGAAAAATAGCAGGCAAGTTAGATGTGTATGTATGGAAATGAAATGATTCATAGTTTAATAGATTTTCTCCCACTGAACCATAGTGAATGAGGATAGAAATCTAATGTATTTGATCACCTTTGCACTGTGGTTAAAAGGATTTTAAAAATATTTTTTACAGTGAGTATATTATTTTGAAATAAATGGGAGGTCTGACTAAATAAAAAGTGGGAGGTCTAATTAATTAAAAAGTGGGAAATACATTTTTTGGGGAGAAATTTCTGGAGTGCGGAGAAGTATGCAATGTTCCTTTTCTTCAGAGGAAGGGTTGCCTTGCTGCTGTGTCTTCATGTCATCCTTTTGGTATCTTTTAAATTCATATTTCTTTTGTACTATGAGCTCTAGATCTGAAATTCTAACTACACCACAGTGTCATTTCTTATATATGAGGAGAAAAACAAAACAAAATCAAAGCTGCAAAAGAGCCTATTCAAAACTAATTGTTTCCAGCTTGTTTGTAGTGCGGGCCATTCTCAAAATTAGTCAAATGTTTTTGAGTTTTAAAAAAATAAATAAAAAATATATATATATTTATCTTCACAGATGCAATGGATCAGCGTTATGATTGTGTTAGCAATGGCATACAAGACGTGCCAAGGGGTCAAACAACATACTTACGAGGCCGCAGTGGGAGTGGAACAGGAGGTACAGAGCTCAACTGTTTGCTGCAGTTCGCACCCCAGACCAAAGGCGACACCTTGAGAGTGTGGTTTGAACCTGGAGCTTTTATGGATGACTGCAAAGTTGAATTACAAGTGGAGTTGAGCAATGCAGGGGTGAGTGGAGATTTGCATTTGGGTTTTTCTTTCTCTTCATATATAATAGCTTTTCATTATATTTGTGTTCTGTAAAATCTTTCCCATAGTCTAAGTAGTTGACTTTCATTGCTGTCTCTACATCTTCGTCTAAATAAGTGTTGGTAATTATGTTAGTTTTTTTCTATTGGGTTTCAAGAACCCTTACCATTCAGGCATCCACTTTCCACAGTGATACTTATGATAATTTCAAATTTCTGTAATTATTAAATAAAAGCTACTCAGAAATCAGCATGTACCATCCTGAAAGGCAGTGGAGATGACTGAATTTCAAGTGCTTCCTATTTGTAAATTCAACTTCATGTTGGGTTGTGAAGTCTGCTGTCTACTGCTGTTGGTTCCTGACGCCTGGCAGGGGAGCAAAGAAAAAGAAAACTTTTTACAAGTACTGCTATTCTCAACTGTAGGTAGTGTAAACTTTGGTGATATCATAGCCTGGCTTTTATTTATAGTTTATTTGTTTATTAGTTATTAGCTTTTGCTTGGTAACACTAACCAATATACTATAAAGCTCTGCATGTATATTATCATAACAAACGTTATTCATATCCACACACACGCACACGCACACACGCACACACACATATGTACATGTCTATCTATCTATCTATCTATCTATCTATCTAAATATCTATCTATCTATCTATTTTATACAGATACAGTAGTCTCCGCCTTAGATCTTACCGCTTACGATCCCGGTTCGCTTAAGATCCGGCTGTTTTAAGAAAACAGAATTTTTACAATACAAAAATCACCCCTAAGATCCCACTCTGATCCACTCTGAAGGTCTACATTCAGCTAAGATCCCGCATTTCTGATCATGATTTACGGAACAAGCACCCGGGCGGGCACAGCCAATCAACCAAGAGTGAAAAGTTGAGATCAATGAACTGCCCGTCGCATCAAAGATCAGCCACTCTCGTGAATGTGATCACATATGCGTTGTAAAACTCGATGAAACGGTACAATGTTTGCCCCAGACAGGATCACAGCGGGGTTTGAAACCTACACGTTTGTTTTCCCTGAACATTGCACTCGTACCTGAGTTTTCCACCTACAAAACTTACATCACTTCACTCCAGGCGGAATCACATCGTGCTGAGAACTCTTCATTGACCATTGCTGCAGTTTTCTCTATTCCTGAGTTTGCGAGACTGACTGAATTTTAATTTGTGTGGTCACAACGTAATGGTGGGTAACGACAAAGGCGAGGGAACTTGGTTAGAGAAGGAAAGCTATACATTTTCGACAGGTGAAGGGGAGGATAGGTCATCAAGGTAAACCACTCTTTGCTCGCCATATGTCATAAACCCACCCAGGGGTCACGTCAGTTCATTTTAGAGTGGAGGGAGACCATTTTACCGATTATGAGCCTTATCATGGGTCACCATAAATTCTTCCCTGGGTTCGTCAGCTAAGATGCTATTTTGCCTAAGATCCCGCATATTCCTTGCTTCCGAGCTCCGAGATCTTAGGCGGAGACTACTGTATAATATATATATTTATATGCATGTATAACAAATGCCTGCATGTTAAGCTAAGCTGTTTTAATTAGGGATGCTGTGGTCTAAAGGCCAGTTTCTCTTGGTATTGTCATATCATATGATGTGAGTTACTTTCCACTTGACTACAAGTGGCTTCAGAATGTATTACATAATGGAATAAAAGATAAGGAGGAAGTGGGGGGGGGGGGCAATGGTGTAAAGGAATGACCATTCTGAATCTTGCCAAGCTACTAGAGGTATTTCAAGGGAAAGAGTGAAAAAAGATGAATGTTTGTATTTTCTTTTCATCTTGCGGCTGTAGTTTAGTTCTGCCACAACTTTGACTCCTCAAGACAGTTGAGTAAGTCCTATAAATATGTCTCACATTTTTATTATGCAGCCAGTTCGCAATCGTAAAGTGTATGGGGTGAGTGGCCTTTTCTGACTCACAAACTCTCCTGTGTGTTTATGTCGGCTATTCCATTTGTCTATTATTTTCACCCAAAGTGTGCATGCTGAGAGACAAGTCAGTAATACCAATAATAATTGTTGTATGTTCCAGTGTTACTAGTGTTTAAGAAGTGTTTTTTTCTTATCTAACTTCATGCTTATGTGTCTTATTTCCTTGCATGTTTTGAACTTGTCGTGTCACCCCCAAGGATTAAAGTGCTAATTCCCGAGTTGCTGTAAATATTTTATAATGTGCATATAAATGGGCTGTGTTGAAGTAGTCAGTTTCACTGAAAAGAAAATGTCAGACATTAATGTGTACCAGTAAAGATGAATGATTTGGATAAATTGATTTTTAAGACATCTATTTTAGTATTGATACTAGAACATTCTCAAATTTGTAATCATTAAAAAAAATTTCGTGGCTTCTTAATTAGCCTTAAAATAACAGGGTCACTTGTTTTTGAGATGATCAGTATGACTCAAGATCCTACTCTTACACACACTGAACTAAAGAGATGCATTTTTATATTCGTGATTAAAATTTTTCTGTCATTTGTGGTATATATGAATGAAGAACAATTTTAACTTTCTGAGGGTGACAGTAACAAGATTTAGGAGTCCTGAGACATCTTGTCTTATATTCTGTCAGTGGGAATGTCTTCAAATCTGTAGTCTGTGTAAGTAATATGAGATAAGATAACATTTAATTGATCTTCACAAAGAGAAATTTGCTGCGGCATGGTTAACACACACGCACACACATGCACACACACTTATACCCAGTCATATGAATAGTCAGTGGATGAAACATACAGAAGTTATTTTTGCATAGATAATGACTGAATAGCCTGTCATTATGATGGGTTGAACTTAGTTTTTATACCTGTTTTTTATTTATTTTTTTTATTTTGTCATTTTCTGTTGTAAAGCTGTGCTTTTTTCTACTTTGTCAATTTTTTTAAAAACTTTGTATGTTTTATTGTTTGATTTTTATATAAATAACTACTTTCTGTTAACTGAAAACAGCCGTGCAGTCCCGGCATTGAAAAGAATAGGACTGACGTGGTGCTAGCGTGTCGTACGAGGCGACTAAATGACGAAACCCGGTAGTGACTCCCGAAACAGAGTCATCCTGCCTCCAGGTCGGGGGTTGAGTCACGAGGCTAACAACCTCTCTCATAAAAAGTACTTGTTACAGAAACACATACAAGCAAAAACCATTATCTCTGCTTGGCTAGTCGTGGATTTTCTCCGAACGGAGAGTTAATGATGCGAAGTAGTGAAAGCCGAAAGGAAGCTGCTGGGCAGAAGCCTCCACCATCATCCAAGTCCAAGTCTCTCCGGATTGGATCGTGGAATGTTAGGACCCTTTATGAGGCTGGAAAAACTGAAAAGGTCCTCCAAGAAATGCACCGATACCACCTACACATACTGGAAATCAGCGAGACCCACTTGAACCAGTCTGGACAGAAGCGAATGAAAGAGGGGGAGCTTTTCATTTATTCAGGAAATGACAGTGATGGACCACACAGGGAAGGAGTAGGGATGATCATAGCCAAAACAGCGCAAAAGACATTTAGGGGCTGGGAAGCGCACGGTCCAAGAATCATCATGGCCTCATTTGGAACTAAGAAAGAACTCAAGGAAAGGAATAGTAGGGAGAAGGTCATAAACATGAACATTGTACAAGTGTATGCCCCAACCAATGATGCAGAAGTGGAGAATAAAGATGACTTCTACAATCACCTACAGAGTGTGATCGACAAACTTCCAGGTAAGGACATCAACATTGTCATGGGAGATCTAAATGCAAAGGTAGGTTCGGACAATAGTCACAACGAGGAAACCATGGGCAGACACGGATTAGGAGAGGCAAATGACAACGGAGAAAGATTCCAAAACTTCTGTGCATTCAACAACTTGGTTATTGGAGGAACAATCTTCCCTCATAAAAGAATTCATAAGGCCACTTGGGTCTCCCCGGATGGAACAACGGAAAACCAGATTGATCATTATTGCATTTCCTGAAAGTTTAGACGCTCACTGGAGGACGTCCGAGTCTTACGAGGAGCAGACGTCGCATCAGATCACCATTTGATCCTTGGAAAGATGAAACTGAAACTGAGAAGGTTTGCACAAATCACAACTGGAAGTCGCCGAAAGTATGAAGTGAGCCTTCTGAAAGATCCAGTAAAGAAGAATGAATTCAAGTTGGAACTGAAGAACAGATTCCAAGCCCTTCAAGATCTGAATGACTGTGAAGTAAACGAACACTGGGACAAGATAAAAGAGGCAGTAAATGCAACCTGCCAGAGCATCCTAGGACCCAAAGTCAACACCAGGAATGAATGGATTTCACAGGACTCTCTAGACAAAATCAAAAGAAGAAAAGAGCTGAAGACCCAAGTCAGCAACAGTCGTACCCGAACTGAGAAACTTGCTGCACAACAAGAGTACGCTGAAGTAAACCGGGAGGTAAAGAATTCCATCAAGAAGGACAGGAATACCTACCTGAATGTCCTGGCCGAAAAGGCAGATAAAGCAGCAACAGACGGGCACTTGCGGATTGTACATCAGACAACAAAGACTCTTTCAGGTAGGTTCAGCAAGCCCACTCTACCAGTGAAAGACAAAGAGGGAAAGACAATCTTCAACCCAGAGGGGCAACTGAACCGATGAAGAGAACACTTTGATCAACTGTTGAACAGACCACCTCCAGAAAACCAACCAGAAATTCTTCCAGCCCGAAATGATCTCCCAATCGCTACGGAACCACCTTCAAGAGAGGAAATTGCTGCAGCTATAACAGCACTGAAGTTCCACAAGGCAGCTGGTCCGGACCATATACCACCGGAAGCCTTAAGGCAGACAAAGACACATCAGTGGAAATTTTCTATGCTCTATTCGAAAAGGTTTGGCAAGAAGAGGAAATACCGTCAGACTGGAAGGAAGGCCACCTAATCAAGCTGCCAAAGAAGGGAGACCTCAGCAATTGTAACAGCTACAGAGGCATAACACTCTTGTCCATACCTGGGAAAGTCTTTAATAGGATACTCCTGGAGAGAATCAAGCTGGCAACAGATGAGAAGCTCAGAGGAAACTAGGCAGGATTCCACAAGAACCGATCATGTGTGGACCAGATCGCTACCTTGCACATCATTGCTGAGCAATTGCTTGAATGGAATTCACCACTAGTGGTCAACTTCATTGATTATGAAAAGGCATTTGACAGCGTGGACAGGGAAACTCTGTGGAAACTCATGCGGCATTACGGAATACCTGACAAAATCGTCAAGCTATGATGGAACAAACTGCCAAGTCTTCCACGAAGGACAACTCTCAGAACCATTCCAGGTGCAGACAGGAGTGCGACAAAGATGCCTGCTCTCACCTTTTCTCTTCATACTTGCAATTGACTGGATCATGCAGGAAGCCACCAGAGGCAAGCGAAATGGAATACAGTGGATCCCTTGGCAGCAGCTGGACGACTTGGACTTCGCCGACGACCTTGCACTGCTCTCTCACACACATACTCAGATGCAAGAAAAGACCAAGGAACTCAACAGCCTATCAAGGAGTGTTGGCCTACGTATTCACCCGGGCAAGTCGAAAGTATTGAAGCTAGGTAAAGTGTCAAGCCCTGCTGTGACAGTGGAAGACCATCCCCTAGAAGAAGTGGACTCCTTTACCTAGGAAGTGTCATCGATGGTAAAGGTGGAACTGAGGCAGATATAAAAGCAAGAACCGCCAAGGCAAAGTCAGCTTTCAAGCAATTATCAAATGTCTGGAAAGCAAGCAACATCTCACTGCACATCAAGATTCGACTCTTTAATTCCAATGTCAAGTCTGTGCTCCTCTACAGCTGCGAAACTTGGAAGACAACAAAGACAGTGCTGAATAAAGTCCAGACTTTCATCAACAAGATGTACATGTATGAGGAGTATCCTAAGAATTTAGTGGCAGGATAGAATAAGAAATGAAGAGCTATGAGATAGGACAGGACAAAAGGATATAGAAGTAGAAATAGGACTAAGAAAGTGGTGTTGGATGGGACACACCTTCAGAAAGCCCAGCGGAAACATCGCAAGACAGTCACTGCAATGGAACCCACAGGGAGCACGAGGCAGGGGTAGGCCACGGGAAACATGGAGGAGAAGTGTGGAAAGGGACATGAAGGAGATGAAGCTCACTTGGAACGAGCTAGGAAGGATGGCCCAAGATAGAGAGAATTGGAAGGAGCTTGTATGTGCCTATACCCTGCCAGGGGTGAAAGGCATTGATGATGATTAACTGAAAAAGTCAATTAACAAAGCAAAATAAAGAATAGGCCTACATTGTAAAATAAATTATACTATTTTGCGGAGAAAAGGTTAAGCGAACAAAGTAAGGAATGGATTGGGTGGGGAGGCTTTGGGCGAGGGGTGTCAGTACATCAACTTGTGGGGTATGTTGACACAGACACTGTTCAGTACAGTAGTATACGCCAATGACCACAACAGGGTCAATGTCATATTTGTAGGTGCATGTGTGACTGTGTGAAAGGAGGGGGGGGGGGTGTTGTCAAGGCTGATCAATATCCATTTAATGTCTTGGAATTCTCCACGGTTAATTTATAATAAAACCAGAAAAATATTGGATAGCCAACTATGCATTTTTCTTCTTGCACAATTTGCCATTTTGCTGTATTTTGTGCAAAATGGAAAGTACAAAAGTAATTTTTTTTTAAAAGGAGGAGAGAATTGAAATAATTCATCAAGGATACACTTGTCACATATTTTTTTACATTTTGTCCTTCAGCTCGTTTTGTGATGCTTTTCTTTTTAATTGCTCTTTATTTGTGAGGAGTGCTGACAAAATGAGTGACTTCTCTAATTTTTGCCTTATAGGCATAGATTTGTCAAATTTTCAGGTCGAGTCGATACAATTTAATATAAAATGATAAAAGACATGTATTACTTGAAGAAAATAGCATCAGTTGAAAATCTACAAAATCAACCCTTCTGTCGATGTTTGGGCTGACATCTCCATTCATGTATTGCAGCAAGTAACTCATTTTGTCAACATGCCTAACATTTACTTTGCTTGTTAAACACCCAAGAACTTCTCTGCAATATCCCAAGCATTTCACTTACCTATGCACTCAATGCTTCCTTCAATTTTTTTTGTGCTCTTTTAATATATATATTCTTGAGTAGCTGCATAGTTTTAGATAGAAACGAACTCATCGGTCATTCCTGAATTATGCTGTTCAATTGGCCTGTTGTTTTGGAGGTTGTATATTTATTATTTATTCCTTTAGGATTTCAGACATCTTTTAATTGTGAGTCACTTTGAATACCATAATGAACAGACCTTATATAGTTAAGCATTTTCTTGCCTTTAGAGCAGTGGTGACTGGGAAGTGCACGAGTCCAACCTCTTATTTGTTGTCTTTTCATTATTATTACGACCCATTCCCTCAGATAATGTATGTTGTTGCAGAGTATGAAGAAGTATCTTTATTTTTTCTCTACTTTCCTCCCCTAACTAAAGATTTAGCAAGTGTCCCTAAAACCAACCTAGCATATCTGTGGGTGGTTGATAGGGGACTTCATTCCAGATACAGATCAGTCGGAAGCCAATGGTAGATTTGCAAAGAGAGTTGATGAGAACTCTCATGGCATAAGTGTTTCACAGAGCGTTTCAAATGCACAAAGAAGAAACCATCTTGGCAATCGCAGGTGGCATAAATTCTGCCAAAGCCACCCCTGCCTCGTGGCTAGTATTTGGAATGAAAAAGGTTAGCAGAGGTCCGAAGAATGTATATAGACTGGCAGTACGCAATCAGAAATCACTGCTGTAATTTCTGTAGAAACAGGGAAAAACCAAAATAATTTGTCAAATAAAAGCAGTGTAAGTAAAAGAAGTTAAGTTTAGAGAATCATTGTAATGAAGACAAAGATAAGAGTTTTAAAGAGCTATTGTGTGGTCAACTCTTATATACGGTTACAAATGCTGAACAATTACTAAAATTGTGAAAATAGACTAGAAGCGACAGAAAAATGGTTTGTTAAAAGACTTAAGAATTTCAAGAAATGAAAAGAAGTCAAATGAGACAGTGCTGAAAGAAGACGGTGTGGGACTATCACAAATAAAAACAATTAGGAAGAGACAAATGCAGTTTGTTTCATACTCGAACATATAGCTCCCTCTGGAAGACAGGAGGGAATTGAGGCAGAGGTAAACCAAGAATACCCAGTGTGGAGAGCTTGGACAGATAGTGACAGGAAAAGACCCTGAAAACATAGATTTTTTTGAGAACGTCCAAGTATAGAAATAAGTGGTGAACCATGGTCAGTGATGATGTTTCAAGTCTGGCACTGTGGGTGGTTGGTGGGTGCTCTGGTGTGGTTTGCTCCTTCTGTCTTATCAAACAGCTATCGTCCTTGTCTGTCCTCCTCCTTTTTTTTTTTTTGCTTGTTACTCTTTTGTAACACCTCTAATCTCTGCCCGTATATATGACCTTATTGTGCTGCAAGTGCTGTGAAACATTTACTAATATAAACCCAACCTGGCATTTGAGAGGGTTCTATCCCTCTCCACTTACATCCCTCCGATATTTTACTTTGATTTTGATTTTGGTCTTTTTTTTTGTTGCTTTCACAGGGCTACAGTTATGGCTGTTTGAGCCAGTCAGTTCCAGACGAGCTGAAGGCTGATAATGGAGTTGCCAGGGTTCAACTGAGGCGAGAAAATTTCGACAACGTCAACTACAACTTCAGATTAGCTATAAGGGCACAGCGCTGTAAGAATATACTAGAAGCATTCATGTGTTTGTGGGTGTGTGGATGAGAGGGAGTGTATGTGAGCTCATGACTCAATAGTCTTTATCATATGCACAGTATATCCCATGAAAAATCAGGGACTTAACAGCCATGACAGGCTAGTTTTCTAAACAATAAGCCTTAAATCTATTGCACTGGGTTTGTTTTTTTTAATTAAAGGTTGGAAGGCGTCTCTTATGGTACCTATGTCTTCCAATTCATTTGCTGTTTCTGTCAGTTATCTATATATGCCAAACAAATAGCGGCGCTGCCCCCCCCTCCCCCCACAGTGCCACCGACCGAAGTGTCTTTAGGCCATTCCGGAATGGGGGGACATTAATTTGTTCTTATGCACAGTAGAATTGTAAATGGGCTGATTCAACAATGTCATGCTCATAACTGTGCTTGAACTGCAACAGGAATTGCTGCTTTTTCTTTCCTAATCCTTACTATCGTCATTTTTACTCTACTTTTTTTGTATGTTTGTCACACTCTTGTGACCCGCTATTTCCGGGGTGCTTTGATAATCGAAGCAGACTTTGTGCTGTTGAAGCTAGAGAGGTGAGCAGAGTAAGCCTGATTCCCTGTAAGAACTTCTCTGTTGACAACCACCCCTTGGCACTCATATAACCTTATGCAGTTGCAAGCGCCCTAAAACCTCTACTAAAGCGGAAAAAAAAACCCAACAACTTATGGCCATTTTTTACCTTTGTTGTTTGAATGTTCTAACTTTTACTTTCAACAGACAAATGTATAATACACTCTCTGTCCAAACATCTGGGGGGGTTTTTCATCCTAACTTTGTTTGCTGAAACCTATACTGATTTCGTAATCACTAAGCTCATTCATTATTTATGGATGCTATCCTTACCACGACTGTAGAGCATTGCTCCAAATCTGAGTTAATTTTGACATTACAAGCTTCTAGTCCAGGTATGGTCGTAATTCATTTTTGTTTCTTTTTTTACTGTATGAGGAACACTTGTTTTGCCTTTGAAACAGCGCATTGGGTGCATAGTAGGGAGTATTTTCCATTTTTGCACAAAATACTTACAGCATAAATAGCAAATTGTGCAAGAAGAAAAATGTATAGTAGGCTATTCAACATTTTTCTGGTTTTATTATAAATTAACCATGGAGAATTCCAGGACATTAAATTGAAATTGATCAGCCTTGACAACCCCCCCCCCCCCTCCTTCCACACTACACCTACTAATATGACATTGACCCTGTTGTGGTCATTGGCGTATACTACTCTGCCGTAAGCTGACAAAACGCCTTTTTTGTTCAGAGCAGTTTCGAGAAATCAACGATTTTCGTGTTGTTTTTTTTACAATATGTCAACTACTTTGCACAGTACATCACAGTTTGAACTCACATTCTTATCAGAATGTCATTCCCTATATACAACATAAATTTTGTTGATTTTCTTTGAGAAATATACAAATAATCACGAAAAAAAGGCGTTTTGTCAGCTTTGCCTTGCACAAGGCGTTTTAACAAGAACGCCTTTTTTTAGATGTTCGCTGACAAAACGCCTTTTTTTACAGTCGGTGGCAGAAAAAAAGGCGTTTTGTGAGCTTTGCCTTAAACAAGGCGTTTTAACAAGAATGCCTTTTTTTTTTTTTACGTTCGCTGACAGAGCGCCTATTTTGTAGTCGCTGGCACAAAAAAAAAAAAAAGACGTTGTGTCAGCGAACTCTTTAGAAATGTATTTAGCCGTACGCCTTATGGATAAGTCAGAATTGGGAGACGGGAGATGGGGCACAGATTCCTTTTGAAGTTTGCAGCCGCGAGGGATTAAACTATGAGGGTAGAAATTTAGATTTATCGAGGTAAAAACTGATTTTATTTTCGGAATCAGTGTATCAAAATTTTATAAGAAAAGTCGGTCGCATCTAACCTGATTTGATGCCATAAATATAAAATTAAGCAAATTTTATTTTCGAATTGTCACGTAGATTCTATGCAGGTCAGCCACTGTGTTATGCATTTGACGTCAAAGCTGACAGGCCTAGATCTAATAAACAAAACTTAAACACTGACTGGACAAGTTATAGGCAATGCTATTTAAACTGGACAGCACGGCACCATGCCCATGGTTCTCGAGTAAGGTTAGGGGTCATTGTGACGTCAAAGAGGTCATCCTGTCCGGAGTCTTGTCCTCTGAGGTTTATTAGTTTAAACTGCTTCATATAACATCTAGAACTCTTCACAAGGATGAAAGTTAAAAATAAATCGACCATTTCTCTCGTCCTCCCCCACCCCTCCCTTTCTCCC